CACTATAATTATTGAGTATTCTCTAATATTTATATACTGTTTTAAATCATTATAGGTACATATATTATTTTAAACATTATTGTTTGGTTTCATGTTGAGTTGTATGATACTCCCTTTATATTATGCCTTAGTTTAAGATGTACATTTATTAAAAACAACCCTTATTCGACCACACAGGGTGTTTTTTTATTAAGTCTAAACATGAAAGAATTATATAATCATAAAATTTTAAAACCTTTTTTATTGTACAAAATATATATCTACGAAAAATCTGGCCGCAAATAATCCTACCATCTTTTTTTGAAATCGGTTATAGAAACATACTAGTAGCTATAACAATTGAACATATTTTTTGTTAATTTTATTTGTGTTTTACATAGCTTTATCATAGATCTGTAGTTAATTATTTTGAATTAGTTTATTCGATTAAGTTATGAATGTTATTATTTTAGGCTACAACAGCTTATCAAATATCAATCCATCAATTATTTCAAAGTAAGCCAAGTCGAAACAGGTAAGAAAAATTTGGTACATTCGCGGATAGAAATATAATTCTCTATGTACTTGTCTTTGGCACTAACATGAAAATTTTTGCAATTTACTTGAACGTATGCGAGTTACGAATATCGTTATATCGAAGTTCGCACTCGTAAAGAGTTACAGTTATTGTGCGCGTCTGTAACGACCTTGTAGGGGGTGTTTCTTGAAATATAACAAATAGGCGGAATAATAATAATAATAAATTCTTTATTGACATAATTTTTACATACACAGGTGATTAAGAATTCCCTAGCCCCTGCGCTCGTTAAAAACTGTATTGCAGGAGCCAGTGTCATCCCCATATACATAATGACAGGTTTTGTGTATTTGTGTGTGTGTGTGTGTGTGTGTGTGTGTGTGTGTGTGTGTGTGTGTGTGTGTGTGTGTGCGTGCGTGTGCGTGTGTGTGCGTGTGTGTGCGTGTGTGTGCGTGTGTTTGGCTAAGTAATTAAAGCCTACCTATTAAATACATACCTAATCAAATATTTTCGAAATCGGTGCCAGCCCATACAAAGCAAAGCACACCGACTTCGAAAATATTTGATTAGGTATGTATAGTAAATGAAAACTACCAATCAGTTATTTTTTACTTTTTAGTGCTTTTGTTTGAAGTCGGTTTTTTATTTTTTTGTTAAAAAGTTTTTATTTTTCCCTTTTTAGTGTAGACAGTAGTAGCAAAGTAAGGATTCTAACGTGTTAGGCTTGTCAAATCAAACAAAATAAGCCCAAACTCAAAGTATCTACTATTAGCCGTTGAAGAGTTCCACCTATCCACCTTCTGGCCTTGCCATCAGATCAGGTCAACAACACCGGACCACTGTACTATCAACGGAAATAGAAATACTTGCAAAGTTTTCAAGTCAATATGACAATTAGAAAGTAGGTTAAATTCATCATTAGTTGTTTTTCCACCCTTAGGGGTGGTATTTTTTTTTGAAATTTAAATGGGACCAATCTGGAAGTATACCCTTTCAAACAAAACAAAAAATTGTCCAAATCGGTTAATAAATGACGGAGTTCTGAGGTAACAAACATAAAAAAAAAAAAAAAAAAAACATACAGTCGAATTGAGAACCTCCTCCTTTTTGAAGTCGGTTGAAAATGGCACTAAAGTACCTTACAATATTTTAACTTTTAACATTTTTATATAATTTTAATTAGCTTTATAATTGAATATAGAATATTATTTATTTAATTTGAGCTGTTATTATTATAATTATTACAATTTTAAAAATATTAATTATTAATCTACATTTTTAGTGTTGCCATTATTATATTTATAACCATAAAGAAAAAATCATAATATATTAATTATTTAAGCCACAATTGATCTATGTGTAATATGAAAAAGTTAAGATTAATAAAAAATAATAATTTTAATTTAAATTTGCTATTATTTAAAAGACAAATTATTAAGCAACACATTACTACATACATTTACAAATGAAAAATATTATTAATCAGAAAATGCTATCATTTTGATCTACACAGTAAGAACTTACTACTTCTACCTGTCTGTTATGTTTAGATTTATTATTAGATTTTATTATATTAATAACAGGGATAAATACGCGACAAAATCCGAAAAGATAGTTTTATTTAAAATGTCAAATATTCGCGTAAATTTAAGAAAGTATTAGAAAAAAATCTTTTGAATAATAATTTAGTTTTAGAAAACATATATATAGATAGACGATTGAACGTCATTTTGTCCGATGAAGAGTGTGCAAAAGCACAATCTTTTGCTCAAGAGAGCTATACACAGCTACAGCATATAAAAGAATCTCAAATTGATGAGAATATACTTTATAAGGATCCCCATTTAATTGAAAAAAATAAAAATACCTCTAGTTCACAGACATTTACCACAGACATAGAAAGAATATTACAACAAACAGAAAAAGAAAGAGGATTACACTCTGCAAAGACAGCTTCTTCTTTTGAAATTACATTGAAAGAAT